CGTCCCTCTCAAAATGTGTGTGTGTGTGTGTGTGTGTGTGTGTGTGTGTGTGTGTGTTTATTTGATGGAATATTGTACATCTATTTTAAATATTATCCATCTATTTTAATTTTATAATTCTATTTTAGTAAGATGGAAGATGCTTCTGTTTTACATTGAATTAAGAACAGGATGTGAAACTGTCTATATAACATTAGTACAACCTCTTAAAACATTTAATCCATGCATATAGAACAGGAAAAGGAAACATAATAATGTGTTAACGGTGACTGTATTTGGGTGGGTGGGCGCTCTCTCCCTCCACATTCAGACAGTCAGGATGAACTCAATGGCTTTATATTTGCACGTCTCCAACGTGGCGTAGTCTCTCATAGCCCGTTGTCACCACCCGGGGAAGTGGACTGGCAATTCTGGGGTAAAGCCACAAGCCATGAGCAATGCCACAAGCCTTGCACAGGGTAGCCTGCAATTACCCATCTCAGCCCAGTTATCAGGGAGAGCGGGCCTGACCCAGAGCAGAGACCACAAGCTCGCAGCCAACCACAGCCCCACACTGTCCAGCCCACACAATGCTTTGGGCTGCATGGTGTTACATTGGTTTGTGTTTGGTTTTGTTTTTACTTGAATTATCTGACAATTTCCAGTTGGAAGACCCTGGGAAAATCTAGCTTTCTGCCTTCTCTTAAAAAGCAGAAGATCCAGGCCACGTGGCAACAGTCAGCCGGAGCAGGGTTGCAGCCACCCCTCCCACAGGATCTGGGCAGCTTGCAACTGTGCGCACCACTCCCGACTGCCTTCCCAGCACCAAGGCCGACACATGTGCTTGAACTGCTGTGTTTCTAACAGCAGAGTGATATGCAAAGTGAAGTGTGTTCTGTGTTTCAATAAAAAGAGGAAAAATGAAACACAGGTTAGGAGGGCTGTAGATGTCCAAAAAATGGAAAAGGGTACATTTTCCAGGTACCTGTGCTTACTTATGTTACCTCCCTGGTCCCAGTGAGTCTCTGAGTTTTCTATCTCTGGCCTAGAGGGTTCCCGAGGAACAAGTGAAAGATAACTACATCCTTCCTCATCTGCTGGAGAGCTTCCTGGCAGAAAGTACTGCCTGGTGACCCACTGCCTGCCTCCCATGCTTCATCCCCAATAGTTGATCCTGACCAGCTCCTGTAGTCGCCAAAGCCCTTTCCCCATGCATCTGGGGGGACAGGGGAAGGTAAGGAAGAGTGGGCCACGCAGAGCGGAGCTGCCCAAAGCCACAGAATTCAGACCCATCCCTCGAAGCCCACAAGCTATGCCCACTACTTGAACAATGTCATTTTGGAGACATCCTCCAAGTCCCCTTTCCTCCCTCAAAGTTTGCAACTGGTTTTGTACATGATGATTTTGTTCAAAGGCCCAGATATTACCAAAGTTGTTGTAGCCTCAGCTTCTAAAAAACCCTGGGGCAGAAGCAGAAACAGCATCAGTAGGCTCTGAGTCAGTTGCCTGGGTCTGTATCCCAGCTCCACCTACCACTAGGGCAGTGACCTCAGGCAGGTGATGGAAGTTCTCTGTGCCTCAGTCTCCCCTTTGTAAATGTCTAGGAATTGGGTTGCTGTGAAGATTAAACACACACCAAGTTCTTCGCACAGTGCCTGGCACATGGTGAGGGCTAAGTAGATACTGGCTGCTCGGCCCCCATGGCTGTGACTATTCTGGGTTAGTCCAGATCAGAGGCTCTAGGGGCACAGCTGAGGCGGACCCTCCAGTCTTGGTTTCTACCTTCCCTCCGCCCACTCAGGTCAACCGTTTTGTGTCCGCACTGCCAGCTAAGCCCCTGGGATCAGGCGCTAATGACTTCGAGCTTTGCAGGGCTGAGAAAAATCTGTGTGCAGGACCTCCCTTGGTCTCTTATGAAGAGCCTTCCCTGAGCTCCCCAAAGGTCAGCTTCCTGGCACACTGGGGAAGACAGAACAAACACGTTTTCGTTTTCTGTTGCTGCCTCAAGCGGTTTACTTAAGAACCGGTTTCCTTCTGGTGCCATGCGGATGAACTTACAGCCTGAGGCCATGGTCCCGTCTGTACAGGAGTAAGGGTCAAGGAACCACCTCCCGGCCCGAGATGCTGGGGAAGGACGGGGTGGGCACACCATCCCCAGGTTCTCCCTGCTCAGTGGGCTTATCCAGGAAACAAGGCTCCAGAACGGTCCCGACTGCCTGGACAGGCAGTTCTAGAGAGTCCCAGCCCAGATGGGCTGTGCCTCAGGCTCCCACGGCCCAGGAGAGCAGGCATGGGTGGCCCTCGGTGCTGCCCTAACCAGGTATACAGTCCTGACTTCTATGCTCTCCTTCCACCCCTCCCATCACCTGCCCCGGAGCCCTTCCTGACCCCCAGCCTGGCTGAGAGCCCAACCCACTCCCTGCCACCCACCCTATTTGGAGTGGCCCAATTCCCCTCTGCCCGTCTGCTGGACAGAGCACTACAAGACGGATGGAGCCTTCTGTTCATCACTGTGTCCCCAGCACCTAGCCCTGTGCCTGGCACACAGCAGGTACATAACTATTGTGTGTTGGGTAAATGAACAGGGCTAACAGTCATGCTGACCTCCCACTGTCGGGTGGATATTAAATGAGATGATGCACATACAGCACTTAACACAGTGTCAGGACACGACGAACACTTAGCAACTTTGGCAGCTGCTAATGGAGGCTGCTCAGCTCCCTAAAAGTGAGGCTCCTGCACACCCAGCGTTGGGGGCTTTCTTGGGTCTGGCTGTTCTGCTCCTATCCTTCCTCCAGTCTCCAGAGGCTTCTAGCCTGGCCTCAGGACCCCTATAGCTCAGGCCTTAGCCTGCCAAGTCAGCCACCATTCTAGAACCCTCTGCAGGGAAAGTGTAGGTGGGCGAGGACAGAACAGAGAATGGAAGCAAACCCTGTGAAGAAAGTTTGCCAATTAACTTGCCTCCAAATGTCCCGGCATTTATTGAGAAGCACCTTCCTTGGTGTCTAGGCTGGCTGAGGGCCCCCTCACACGTACACAAGCATGCCTACTCCTCTCTCTTCCCCTTCCATGGACAAGGTGCCCTGGTTGTGAAGGAGGTGAGGCTGCCCCCAGGAGCCTCATCACCGAGACTCTTGCAACATCTGGACCCCAAAGAGCTTTAAGGCTTATGGAGAGATTTCCTCTGCACCCTAGACTAACACAGCTTTTTGGAAGTAGACAGGATAGCGCAAAAAACCAGCCTGGGGGCCAGGACTCCTGGGTTCTAGGCCTGTCCACGACGCCCTTCACTTGTCTACATCTTTGCTTTTGCCTCTGGGATAGGACCAGATCAGCGAGCTTCAAACTCTTCTCAGAGGTGTGACCTCTTTGGTCAAACTGAGCTGTACCAAGACACGATTCAGTATGTCAGGCAGATGGAGATGAGGATCTGCCTGCCCCGTGTCTCCCTGGGCGGCCCCCATGGGAGTATGCTCTGTGACCCTCTGGGTGAGCCAACCCGCTTGTTGCCCTGCATCTCCCCGCATGCTGACAGGGGCCATGAGCATCCAGCAGGTGTGACTCATGTTCTTGGGGTAGCAGGGACCCCTGTGAGGAGTATTAGCGTTGTGCTCAAAGTGCGTGCAGACCTGCCCTAGACACCTCCCCGGCTGAGCAGGGAGTGCAGGCTGAATCGAGGAACGTGGGTTGGGGGCAGGAGAGGCACTGGCCTGGGATGCTCCCGAGCGACCTTCTGGGGCTTCTGCCATGGGGCAGAGCCGACCCCCCGCCTCTGTGGGCAGAGGGTTCACATGGAGGCCATTCAGGAGGCTGCCGAGGAGAGGGGTCTTACCCATGAGATCTGTCAGGTATATATCTGAGGTGACAGGAGGGACCTGGGATGCAATCCTTCCATTATACAGAAAAGAGACTGAGGTCCAGGAAGGGATAATATCATCCCTGAGGAGACAGAGTAAAATGAGAGCCAAGGACCAAACCCCAAGGTATTGAAATTTGTCTAAGACCGCCAGCTCATGCTTCCTCCGGAGCTGGCACTTTCTACTCTGCACAGCAAGTGCCTTCCCATCCTTTCCATTCTCCTTTATCAAAACTGCTCCAGGAGAAGAGTCAGAAACCTCTTTCCTGGCAGGGAGGAGATGGCAGCTCCAGCTCGCGGCACAGGAGTAGCTACGTAGCGCATAAGAAATGAAGCTCTGGGCTTCCCTGGTGGCGCAGTGGTTGAGAGGCCGCCTGCCGATGCAGGGGACGCGGGTTCGTGCCCCGGTCCGGGAGGATCCCACGTGCCGCGGAGCGGCTGGGCCCGTGAGCCGTGGCCGCTGAGCCTGCGCGTCCGGAGCCTGTGCTCCGCAACGGGAGAGGCCACAGCAGTGAGAGGCCCGCGTACCGCAAAAAAAAAAAAAAAAAAAAAAAAAAAAAAAAAAAAAAAAAAAAAAAAGAAATGAAGCTCTAATGGAACATCAAGGGTGAGGTAGGGGCGGCCCGCTTCATGGCCTTGCAGCCAGTCCAGCTTGAGGCCTCCCTGGCTGCACTCCCTGGTGTGTGGGGGGCAGGTGTAGGTCTGAGACCTGGGCCGTCACACAGGGCCCCTCACTTGACAATGCTCTGCTGTTGCCCTTTTAAAATTCTTACTAATTTGTGATCAAGAGATCGCATTTTCATTTCACCCTGGGGGGCTGCAGGTTATGTAGCTGGTCCTGACTGCCCAGTCATTAATTGCGTGTCCTCGAATAATCATCTTAACATCTGGGAACTTCAGTTTTCTCATCTGTAAAATGGAAAAAAATCACAGCACCTGCCTCAGAGAATTGTGCTGAAGACGAATTAAGAGAACCCATGCGGGGCTCTTTGCAAGCACCGGGCGCGTAGAAAATCCTTAACCGGTGAGAGTTACCACTATAGATAAAACGATTCAACATAGATGCCCTGCTCCATAAAAAGATTATTAACCAAACCCCAGACCTGGGAAACCAGGAAAGGGTCACAGGTCCCCAGACACCAGGCCACCTCCCCTGGCCGCTTACCTTCCCGAAATGGCTGTGTTTGCATCTGCAGCCGGATCTTGATGAGGTCCACGGGCGCACCCAGCCCTACAGAAACCACGCCAGCCACCATGCTGGCCAGGAGCAGGTCAGACAGCACGCGGGGTGAACCGGCCTCGGGCTCCTGGCACCGGTGGTGGCTGAGGAACCTCTGTGTGTTGCTGAAGACACCAAACACCACTGAGTTGTAGACAGCGATGCTGGTGAGGGGGAAGGCCATGCCCTTGAAGAAGCCAAACACCTGTGGGGAGACCCAGGGGGAGGAAGCATGAGGGCCTATGCTGCCCTTGGCAGAGACCTTGCCCTCCTGGAGCCTGCGGGCTGGCGGGGGAGACACCATAGGAGAAGCAAACCAGTACGTTGGTGGAAAGAATAAAAGAGGATGCTGATGTGAGAGGAGAGACAGGGGAGGGTGAGAGCATCCTTAACCCAGGAGGAACTGGCTTCTGCATGAAGCTTTGGTTCCTGAGCCGTCATGTGCTGGGCCTGGAACCTGCATTTGTCACTGGAGTGGCAGTGTTCTTGGGCTGTGGCCGAGGGCAGCCCATGGAGCCCCAGCGGGTAGTGGGCTTACCAAGCACCACACACT